CCGAAACGGCTTCTAACATGCATTTGTGAAGTGTTTTTGTGGCGACTCTGGGCACATTTTCTGCATTGCTTTCATGAATATCTTACTATATAAATTCTTGTGTATCTTAAGAGCAGGGAAACCACTTCCAAATTTTGTTTTTTTCCAGATCGTGCAGAGTCTAGAGCATACTTCAGTAAAATATATGCTCAGAGGATGTGTGATGCACAGCACAGATACAAGTTCTCCAAGTTGCTCGATTCCTATTTAATTATTAAATTCAGTCTCACAATATTTTGTGAATTCTGGGAAAGTGTAGACTTTTCATTTCATGTTTTCAGTTCCAGTTGTGGGTACTCACAAATCCTTGCCAGGTGGCAAAGACTACCATTTGACACCTAGTATGTGTGAAGCATGCTTGCATGAAAACACGTATAGTCTGCGAACGGCTGCTTTTTATTTCTGTAAGTAGTTTTTTTTTTTTTCTTATTTTCAGGTCTGTATTAGCTATTGTAGAGTATAACTCCCAAGAAAACATAACTGTCTCTTGGGTTTATGCGATGCACCACCACACACAAAGCGGAGCTGTACGATCGCCCGATATCACAGCGTGCCTTGATGAGGCACAAAACAAGCCTTAGCTGGGGAACGTCACAGTCTTCTCAAGTTATTTAATAGTACCCCATTAGGCGCTATCTACTAGAAATAGAAAGCAAAAGCACTTTGTTAAGATGTGTAAATTGTTCTTCAGTGAAGGAGGTTTGTGTATATAATTGAGCTTGGTTGTTTTTGTTTACAGAGCTCCTGTAATTTCCCTGTGCCAGATTCTGAGTCAAAAGAAAAACACCGAAGTCCTTAGGCAACAGCTGTTCTCCGTCCTTCAGGGCGGTGGTTCTGAGCCCCGGGATGTGCTCATTCTTGAGAAATGATGCTCTTTGGCTGCAAAGCCCTGCACTCTTCTACAGGGTTATTTTAGTGAATATCTTTATAAAAATGATGCTGTTTGATAGATACCCTGAAGGAGAAAATAACTGATTATGTCCTAATGTCTGTGGTTCGTGAACTCTTCTCCGAAGTGTGCCTAAGATTTGATTTTGTATTACTGAATACATTTCTAACCTCGCGGTGTGGTGAGGAATGATAGTATAGGGAGTTTCTGTATTTTTAGTGATGCTGGTTGGCAAATCAACTCTAAAATCAAATTACATCAACCAAAAGTAATATGGGTATTATGGCTGTGTATTATAAAACTTTGTACTCAGCCATTTTTCTACATTTTCTAAATTAGCCCATTTGGAAGAAGTGGGCTAATTTTATATGAAAAAAGGGGATAACCAACAATGTAATTTATAAAACAATAATGGTGAAGACTCACTTTACTTGATTTAAAAACGTATTTAAAATTGAAATTTATCAATTTTGTTAAAGAAAGAGTGATGAATTTAAATGGAATAACAGAATCCAGAAGTTAAAAGCTATTTTAATTGTGTTTAAGACCAGGGAGAAATAACACAACGATGGAGAAAAGTGACACTTGTCAGGTATTTATTTTGGTAGCGGAAGACTCTGTATTGTCTCTGTAGTTGTGGAATATGTAGAAATGGAAAGAGAAACAGAATATAAAAAAAAATGCACTAATGTGTCAAAATTACTTTAAAATGGATACAAATGTATTAGGCGAAAATACCGACTCCATTTGATACGTGTGCAAAGAAGATGAATATGGTGAAGCAATCTTCCATCATTTTTTATAGAAAATGTGCTGCCTTTATAGAATTAAATTAAAATGTTAGAATTTTTTTTTTTTTGAGACTGAATCTCATGTTGTCACCCTCAGTAGAGTGCTGTGGCGTCACAGCTCACTGCAACCTCTGGCTCTTGGGCTTAGGCGGTTCTCTTGCCTCAGCCTCTGAGTAGCTGGGACTACAGACGCCCACTACAATGCCCGGCATTTTTTTTGTTGTTGCAGTTTGGCCAAGGCCGGGTTCAATCTCACCACCTTCAGTATTTGGGGCCAGAGCCCTACTCACTGAGCCACAGGCGCTGCCCCAGTGGTAGAATATTCTTAATGATAAAGATAATAAAATCAGATTTCTTTTTCTTACTGTTCTTATGTTGCTGGCATTGTACATTGTTTCAATTGTCCTGGAGGGTAATCTGTTAATATGTTTGCCATAATGATGATGCTGCTGCTGATAATGGTGGTGGTAATGGCATGTGCCAGATATGTTCCTGAGTGAGTGGGGAGAATGGGCATTTAGAGGAAAGCTCACTGTCTCAGCCACATGGACATATCTGCTATTATACCTATCACAGAGCTCGTTGCACAAAAGCTCTCTAATCTCCAGCTCATCTTTTCAGATTTTTATTTCTTCTGAAAGCCATTTTCCTATGGGCCATATTTATTTTTTAAAAGATTAAGCAAGGTTTCTTTTTCCACATTCACTTTGAATCTGTTTTGGTAAACGTTTTCCTCCATACCCTGAATGTCTTTCTTCCTCTGACAGGTGGATTATTAATCATCTTTCAGAATTTTGTCCCAGTAGCACTTTGTCAGTAAAGCCTCTCTGCACCTCTGCTCCTCGCTGGGGCTCAGCCTTGGGCCTGAGACGAGCTGAGGCCAGCACCTCTACCTGCTTCTCTGGACACTGTCACTCCTTTGAGGTCAGGCTGTGTCCTTGTCCTCTCTCTAGGCAAGGTGGGGCTTAATACATGGGTGCAGGATGAGTGAATGAAAGAACAAAAGGAAAACCCAATATTATTTGCTGCCTCTTTTATTAGATTCTGTTAATGGAATTGTGTCGCCTTAACTTGGTATAAACTTAACCATCATCAAATTGTGTAGCTCCTAGTAATTTAGTAAAATGAAGGTACTGCAGTTCCACTCGGTGACCTTATTCAGCAGCAGGTGCTTCTTGGTGCTTGTATTTGTCCCATTGCTTGTTTGCTGTTAATGAGGTTTTTACGGGGTCACTTTCAGGTTCTTAGTGATTATAACAGATGCTCAAGGAGGTATATTTATCAGCTCTTGTAGGCCAGGCTGCCATTAGTGAACTCTTCTCTGTGATACAGTATTCTCAAGAGAAAATATGCTTAAGGACCTATCTTATTCTCAGGAAGTAAGTTTTAGCTATTTTTTTTTTTTAAAGTTTAGGATCCAGAACTGAAAAACCTCTCCTTGTACAAATTATTTGTTGTTATAAGTATGTTTATGCTAAAATTAATGCTTCAAGGTGCAGACTGAGTTTACATTAAAGATGAATCGATGTCTGTATTGAATGGACAGACAGAGGCTCTGCTGCACATGTGGGGCCCACCCTTGCCGTGGCAGAAGTTTCTTTCTCTTTCAGGTGGTTGTTCGGATGCAGGAGGCCCAGGACTACTATGGTCTACTCTGTTCTACACAGTTTGGAGTTTGACTCCGTGTTCCCTGTGTGGCATTAAGGGTTCGGGAGTCTTCTTTCTCCCTGTTTTTTATTTAAAATTTAATTTTTGTTGATTTTTCTTCTTAGATTTTATTTATTATTATTGAGTTGTGATTTGACTTGGCAGTGTGCTCGACTGGTCGAAGTCACCATTTGTTCATAGAGTTTTATGGGGTTGGGGTGACAAAGTAACTGTGACACTAAATATTTAGTGAATTATTTGGAAGGTCAGATATTTGGGGGAGGGATCATGAATCTGTGCCCTGGTTGCAAGACCCGTGTGATGTGTGTTGTGGAGCCTGGGGAGGGATGAGAAGGGAGCACGCCTCATGCTAGACTAAAGGAGGCACAAATAAGGAAGGCTTTATGGAAAGTAATGCAGGGGAGGTGCCTGTAGAGAGAGGGCTTTGATAATCAAAAATGGAGGGGGAGGGCAGAGAGGGGCATGGGGTCGTCCTGAAGGAGGTGGGAACAGAAAGTGCTGGGAAAAGCTCAATTGAATTCAAAGTGGGGGAGGGGGGAAGAGGGAGGGCAGAGAGAGGAAGGGGGTGGACTGGCGTGCTTTCACTTAATGGGCTCAAAGTAAGGGTACATGGCACACCTCCTGGGTGCAGGACGCGACTGCAACAGGGACCTTACCTAACAAAGGGGAATGTGGCAACCAAATTGTTTGTACCCTCATGTTAATCCGAAGACAAACAAACAGACAAAAGCTATGTAATGAAAAAAATGTGCTGGGAATGGAAGCCTGGTGTGTCTGTGTGGTGCCCACTGTGCCTTAGAATCAAAATTTGTGGCTGAGGGAATAGGTGTGCACTAATCCTTGTTCTTTTTTTTTCCTAATAGGGTGAGAAAGGAGAATTTTGTGTTGGATAATACTTTGAGGAAAATGCATTCATTTGTTACTTTACATTATTCAAGATGCTTCTGTGAGCTATACTAATCTTTAACACCTAGTAAAGAAGATTTAGGTTTAGATGGAATTATGTTTGTATTTTAAATGAAGATGTAATAATGGCAACGCTTGTAAATGTGTGACTCTTAAAGGGAGACCTAAACCCTTAGTGTTCCCAAAGGACCAGCTTCCAAGGGCTTTCTGAAGTTAGAAGGTCGCGCTATCCCATTTTACTGTCACATTCTGCTGATACATCATTTAGAGAAAGTTCCAGAGAAAGTTCCAATTCCTGCTGAAGAGCAGAACACGGACGTGATTTTTTACTTAGGTGTGCAGAAAGAATTGGTTAGCACAGAATCGGCTGAAATCAAGCTTTAATTAGACAGACTTTTACATAATTCACCATGATCACTTTGGAAGTCCAGGCAGAATATGCTTTTGATTTTATCACAATGAATTCATTTTGAAGGAGTGGTCAGTCATCTTATTAGTTCTTTTTGGTACGGATATTTAGATCTTCCCAGCAAAGCCATGACAATGTACCTAGTCTTTTAAAGAAATGAATTGCTCCGTAAAGATTTATAAGGAAATGAATCAATACGTAAAAAGGTATTCCTGTTCAATATTATTCTTGATGTGAATATAATCTTTCTTAAAGACAGGAAAGTAACTGCAGGCTCTTTCTGTCTTTCAATCCATAGGCTGTCCATCTGGCCCAGGCAAGTTTCCAGATTGAAGCCTTCGGCTCCAAATTCATTCTTGACCTCATACTGAACAAGTAAGTATTTAGTCATCATCCTTTGGGAAACCAGGTACAACAAAACTTCATTTTTATAATATTGAATTAGTCAAAATAACATCTGTTGTTGAAGCAACTGATCTTTTCTAGCTGATCATATGTCATACAGCCCATAAAGTAAAATATAAAAGTCTTAACGATGAATTCTTTTTTTTCCTTGAAAGAAAAGACATTTAACATTTACTGTGTTAAATATCTCAAATGTGGTGCTAATGTTATGATTTTAAATGGAATAAATATTTGAAGTAATGCTAGTTAATTGAATCTTAACTGTAATCATCAGTGTATATAAGAAGCATGAAAAACTACTGATTCAAGTATAATTTAACTTCGGTCTAGAAATTTTTCCATTTTTTCCTGTATAATGCAATTCACACGACTTCTGTAGGAAGAACAAGGTAAGTGATGACTTGCAAATAGCTATCTTGAGAAGATTCTTTGCTTTATAATTGGCTCTAATATGGATTCTTTGAAAGTTTGCTCCTAATGAAAATTCGCCTGATTGTCTCTGAGCATGCATTTGTTGGTCTTTAAATGCTGCTTCCTGTTGGAACCACTTGTACAGACATCTTTGTACAAAGTGTGACCCAGAGCTGGTGCCTGAGCCAGAGCTCTTCAGTCTCAAGTAGAGCTAACACAGAGCCTTTCTTTGGTGAAAACAATTTTCTGTGTGGTTTTCTTGAGTTACAAAAAAACTCCAGTCAGTATCTTAAGCTCTCATTAGTATTTTGATCAGGACTTCATCTTTGCAAGAAAGATACCACTTAAAGCGATCAAATGCTATATTCTATAGGTGGTCACAGCCAATATCTGAGAAATTGCACAGGGTTGTAAAGAACAACTATTAAATTTCTTGTATGCCAAATTCTGTGAGCTCTGCAGAAAAAAAAATGCGGAGTCAGCTCGGGTGCTCCTTGCTCCAGTGTTACTGCAGCTTCAAGTCAGAGTGAATCAGCAGAACTCAGAATTTCCTGCGTTGAAGGTCCTGCAGGTTTTCCTTCTGGGTTGAGTTCAGTTCCACCATGCTGTGTCAGCAGTGTGCCTACCTAAGAAATTTGTCTTGCCAAATCTTAGACTATGTTAAATAGCAGGATATGGCTAATTTTAGTTAAAGTTCTCTATTCCTTTAACTCTTACTGCAGTGGAGACCATTATTCCCAACTGTAAAGTGATGGCAACAATCAACACTGCTCTGTGTTTTGAGCAATAAAATATCACAGTCATAGCAGAATTTCCCAATCAGATATTAGATGGTAGAGAAAGGGTCATAGGGGATATCCAGGGACTTAGAGTTCTGGAAATGTGTCAGAAATTATTTGTCAGTAACATTGAGCCTATGAAGGCATCAACTTGAGCACCTATTACGTGCAGTCCCTGCCTTGAGGAATTTAGAGTCTCATAGATACATATATAATTTTAGAAGAGTGAGAAATGAAATGTGCTAGAAGTTAACGTGGTGTGTTGTGGTAGCACCAAGGAGATGCAGCTCTTCTGGGTAGAGGAGTGTGAAAAGGCATCTGGGAAAAGGCGATGCTTGAACTCAATGTTGAGAAGTGTGTTGTGGGCATGTGAGGTGCTGTGTCTGTGGAGGCAGGGCCGTGTTGCAAAAACACAAGTCTTTTGCTGAAGCTTTGTAAATGACGAGGTTGAGGCAGAGGGAGATGGATTGGGAGAGGTAAGCCTAGGGACAGTTCAACTCTTGGTATATCTGGTATTTCATGCTCAAGTGCTTGGCCAGTATCTCTTAGACTGGGAAAAGTCAAGTCTGGGAAATAAGCAGAGTTCCTTTTCTCAGGAAATGCTGAGATGCATGGAGAAGGAACACTTTTAAGAAATCAGAAGTTGATAAAAATTTTTGGGACTGCTTCAGTGTGGATGGCAAGGCAGAGAGAAGAGTTACGGATGACAGAGGTGCCTTGATGTTCGGTTGGGTGGAGGGTGTGGTATTTAGCTAATTTGGGCAGCACCAGAGAACAGACAGATTTAAATGGTGGAGGGAAGAGAATGTGACATTAGATAAGACATGATCTGAGGGGCTCTGAGACACATGAGACCAAGTCTGAGAAGTAGCTGGCCATAACCTCAGAGGAGAGGTGGGAGCTAAAGATAGGAGACTTGGGAGTTATTTTCTATAATAAGCATTTTACAAGGCAAATGTGGCTGTGAATAAGGTTGCCCAGAGAGAGCAGAAAGAAGCTGAAAAGACAGTTATGAGTGGGGAGAGGATGAGGAACCCATGAAGGAGATGGGGTCTTGCAATGTTGCTCAGATTGGTCTGGAACTCCTGGCCTGTAATTCGAGGTATGCGGTACCACACCTGGACTATTTCTTAAATTTTATTTTTATTTAGTATTATTTACTACTTTTTAAGAGCTGGGTGCTCTTATCACCACAGCGTGTGAGAGAAGGAGACAGTCTGAGGTGTGGATCCAGGGTCCAGTTTTTGTGGTAGCACAGAATTATGCAGACAGAGGTCTTGGAACATTGGTGAGTGAAGTGACTCAGGTCATTAGTATCAGGATCTGGTCGAGGGAAGAAAGGAAACGGAGGTCTCTGGAGTGAAAAGTGCATAGCAGGGAGGCCATGAGAATGGCCTTTGTGTGGTACCTCCCCGGGCAGTCCTGAGCCTTCTGAGGGCAAAATGAGTGTGCACTCAGTGACTTGGAGATAAGAGCAGGTATCACAGAGTGAGATGTGTTGTGGGAGTGGGCTCTAGTGTAAGTGCTTAGAAGTCTGGTCCATGTTAGACTAAAGTTAAAGAGTCAAGAAAATGTTTAAATGAGTCATAGAGGAATCAAAAGAGCTTCTGGGGAAGGAGGGATCTCGTTTCCACCCTGGGGCGATCATTGCCACATTATAGGCAATGATTTTAAATCACCAGAAGAGGGAAAGGCAGAGGTACGGGGTAAGTTTGCAGGCTCGGTGTGTGGAGGAATGAGCGCATAAAGATGTTGTGGACTGGTTCGGGTGCTGAATCCTCCTCCAGTGACCCCACCAAGCCTGCAAGACCAGCTGGTGGGGCCTATCCTGATGTAAGTTCCTGGGAGAAGAGCCTTTATTGGGTATTTTGATAGAGTGAACAAGGAGGCGTCTCAAGGCAGTGCTGTGCGCTTTCCTCATATGTTCAGCAAATGCCAAGTGAGCATCTGCTCTATGCCTGTGAGCGTTATAGGTGCTGCCATTGCTGAGAATAGGAAAAGATTCCTGTGTCCCCAGAAAGCCTCCTTGTAGAAGAGGAGGTGGGCAGAGGTGAGTGTGCTGAAGAAGAAACCATTGGGCTGGGTGAGGGAGGTGGAGGTGGAGTTGGAAGAAGCCAGAGGCCTGTCTGCCGAGGACCCTGAACTGAGATCTGGTTGTAAAGAGGAGCCACCATGTAATGCTGAAAGGCTGAGAACTCCACACAGCTGGGACAGCAAGGCAGCTGGTGCTAAGGAGGACACAGAATGTTCTAGAAGGAGGCTATCTTGACTAGAGTGCAGTGGAGGGGCAGGGCTGGTGGGAGGCTGAGGATCCCAGATCAGAGGGGAAGCAGCTGTGTAGCCAGACTATGTAGGACTGTGTGCCGTGGCGAGGACTTTGGATGGGAAGCTGGAGGGCAAGAAGTGTGGGATTGACCCAGCTGGGTGTCCTTTTCTTTTTTTTAGCCCAAAAGGACCTAGTTGTGGCCGAAGAGGACCGTTAGTCATGGTTCCATCAGAATACTCTTTAAACAATTTTATTTTATTTTTTCTCTAGAACAATCATTGTTCCAAGTTACAGTAGGTTTTCAAAAGACTTCTAGGTCACTATTTCTTCTTTGGGGGTGTCAAACAAGCAGTTAAATTAAAAAAATTTTATTTAAAAACTCATTTTATTGAGGTATGATTGACATTGGAGCAACAATTCTTAATGTGTATCAGCCCTTGGAAGCCCAGGGGTCTGAGCATTGCCTCCTCTGTGTGTATGAGTGGAATTATGCCAAAGCCTATGAAGCTGTATTTGGGGGTCTTCAGCAAGTGTTTATTGGGAACAGCCATGATCAGAGCTGCATAATAGCTCAGAGTGTGGTCCTATGGCCAAACAGACCTGAGTTTGAGTCCAAGGCCTGCCATTTACTAGCTGTATGATCTTGGGCAAGTTTCTTAACTTCTTCCTTTTCTTCTTTTTCTCTTCTCTACTCCCTTTACCACTGTCCACACACCGTAAAATGCACCCCTCTGAAATGTACCATTCAGTGGTTCTTAGTTATATCCGCAGAGTTATGCAGTTGTCACCATAGTCTAATTCCAGAACATTTTTATCATCCCCAAAAGAAACTTTACCCATCACCTGTCACTCTCTATTCCGCTCTTCTGTAAGCCTCTGGCAACCACTTTCTGATTTGCATATCCTGGACATTCCACATCAGTGGACTCATACAATGTGGGGCCTTTGTGACTGGCCCCTTTTATTTAGCATAATGTTTTCAAGGATTATCCGTGTTGAAGCTGAATATACCTCTGTGTGGATCTATCCTTAACTTTTTAAGCTTTCATTTCTTTCTTAAGTTGTAGGTGGTTATGAGGATTAAAGAAGATGATGTGTGGTACTTCCACGTGTCTGTTAATCAGAAGGGCATGATCAATAAATATTTGTATTTACAACTAACTGTTGTAGGTGCAACTGGGCAGTCACAGGACTGTCATTGAATAAGAGTCATTAATTTCATGCGGCTCATCGTCTAGTGAGAACAGCCCAGGTGAGATAACACATCTCCACTGATCTGAAGGCTTGTGTGCGATACATTTGGTGCTTCTCCAGCAGTCCTGCAGCTGCCTACTACACATCCAGCAGAGAACATGGCAAAACCTGCAGGCTAGGGCATTTATGGATATTTAAATTTCCAGGCCATCTGCCTGGGCCTGGGTGAAGGCACAGGCCCTTAGCGTGCTGTCTCCTGTTTATTGTGAAGTGAGATCCCTGTGCTTCTTTTGGCCTCTTTCCTGTATAGAGAGGAACAA